CAGAAAAATGGGAATAACCCTTGGAAAAATGGGAATAACTCTCAGAAAAATGGGAATAACTTCAGAAAAATGGGAATAACCCCTGGGGAAAAGGGAATAACTCTCAGAGAAATGGAAATAACCCTGGAAAAATGAGAATAATTCTCAGAAAAATGGGAATAACCCTTGGAAAAATGGGAATAATTCTCAGAAAAATGGGAATAACCCTTGGAAAAATGGGAATAACTCTCAGAAAAATGGGAATAACCCTTGGAAAAATGGGAATAACTCTCAGAAAAATGGGAATAAAATGAAACAGGAATTTTGGGATGTAGGATAATTTTTAAGAGGGGATTGGCAGCGGGGCCACGGCCACGGGAGCCCGAAACCTGCCGCAGAAAAAATGAATTCATCGCTCCCGTGTCGAGGGGAAAACACACCCCAAACCCCAAAAATCCCAAAACCCCCAAATCTCGCCCCAATTCTCGCCTCAAACCCCCCAAATCCCCCAAATTCCCAAATTTCCCAAATTCACCTCAAATCTCCCCAAATCTCCCCAAATCCCCCAAATTCCCAAATTTCCAAAATCCCCCCAATCTGACCCCAAACCTCACCCCAATTACTATTACTATTAATATTATTGATATTATTAATATTATTATTAATGTGATTGATAGTATTGATAGGATTAATTATTAATTATCAATATTATTGCCATTCACATTATTAATTGTATTAATTCTATTATTAATATTATCGATATTAATATTATTTAACATCATTAGTATTAATTACGTTATTAATGATATTAATTTACTATTCTTAATATTACCATTAATATTATTAATAGTAATAATCTTAATAGTAATAATATTAATAATAATATTAATGTTAGTAAATATTAATTGCTATTAATTGATATTAATATTAATAAACATTAAAGGATATTTCTACAGTTTAATGAATATGTAATCGAATTAATAAATATTAATGACCGATGGATTTATAGGAATCAAAATTAATAAATACGGATAAATATTCACACGTCTTTATTTATATTAAATATTGGAACCCGAGACCCCGGGAAAATTGGGAATAACCCTCGGAAAAACGGGAATAATTCTTGGAAAAACGGGAATAAATCCAGGAAAAATGGGAAAACTCACAGAAAAACGGGAATAACTTCGAGAAAATTTGGAATAAACCTGGAAAACGGGAATAATTATTGAAAATTTGAAATAACACTCAGAAAAATGGGAATTATCCTGGAAAAATCGGGAATAATTCGCAGAAAAAATGGGAATAATCCTTGGAAAATGGGAATAACCCCCAAGAAATGGGAAAAATTCTTGGAAAATTTGGGAATAACCCCTGGAAAAATGGGAATAACCCCCGGGAAAAACATAAATAATTCTCAGAAAAGTGGGAATAACTCAGAAAAATGGGAATAATCCTTGGAAAAATGGGAATAACCCCGGAAAATGGGAATAATTCTTGGAAAATGGGAAATAACCCCCAGAAAAATGGGAATAACCTTTGGAACATTGGGAATAATTGTTGGAAAATTGGGAATAACTCACAGAAAAATGGGAATAACTCCTGGAAAACTGGGAAGAACATGAGCAAAATGGGAATAAATCTCGGAAAATTGGGAAGAACCCTCGGAAAAATGGGAAAGACCCTTGGAAAACCGGGAAGAACCCTGAGAAAATTGGGAATAATTCATGGAAAAGTGGGAATAATTCGTGGAAAAGTGGGAATAACCCCCGGAAAAATGGGAATAACCCCCGGAAAACTACCTCAGAAAATTGGGAATAATTCATGGAAAAGTGGGAATAATTCATGGAAAAGTGGGAATAATTCGTGGAAAAGTGGGAATAACCCCCGGAAAAATGGGAATAACCCCCGGAAAACTAGGAAGAACCCTCAGAAAATTGGGAATAATTCATGGAAAAGTGGGAATAACGCTTGGAAAACTGGGAATAACCCTCAGAAAATTGGGAAAAACCCTCAGAAAAATGGGAATAATTCATGGAAAACTGGGAATAATGGTTGGGAAAATGGGAATAACCCTCGGGAAAATGGGAATAACTCATGGAAAACTGGGAATAACTCAGAGAAAAATGGGAATAACCCTCGGGAAAATGGGAATAATTCAGAGAAAAATGGGAAGAACGCCTGGAAAACTGGGAAGTACATGAAGAAAATGGGAATAACACTCAGAAAAACGGGAATAACTGTCAGAAAAATGGGAAAAATTCATGGAAAAATGGGAATAACGCTTGGGAAAGTGGGAATAATTAATGAAAAATTGGGAGTAACGCTTGGAAAAATGGGAATAACGCTTGGAAAAATGGGAATAATGCTTTGAAAGAATGGGAATAACCCTTGGAAAAATGGGAATAACGCTTGGAAAAACAGGAATAATTCAGAGAAAAATGGGAGTAACTCAGAGAAAAATGGGAATAATTCATGGGAAACTCGGAATAACGCTTGGGAAAATGGGAATAACTGAGAGAAAAATGGGAATGACCCTCAGAAAAATGGGAATAATTCATGGAAAACTGGGAATAATGGTTGGGAAAATGGGAATAACCCTCGGGAAAATGGGAATAACTCATGGAAAACTGGGAATAACTCAGAGAAAAATGGGAATAACCCTCGGGAAAATGGGAATAATTCAGAGAAAAATGGGAAGAACGCCTGGAAAACTGGGAAGTACATGAAGAAAATGGGAATAACACTCAGAAAAACGGGAATAACTGTCAGAAAAATGGGAAAAATTCATGGAAAAATGGGAATAACGCTTGGGAAAGTGGGAATAATTAATGAAAAATTGGGAGTAACGCTTGGAAAAATGGGAATAACGCTTGGAAAAAATGGGAATAATTAATGAAAAATTGGGAGTAACGCTTGGAAAAATGGAAATAACGCTTGGAAAAAATGGGAATAATGCTTTGAAAGAATGGGAATAACCCTTGGAAAACTGGGAAGAACCCTCAGAAAAATGGGAATAATTCATGGAAAACTGGGAATAACGCTTGGAAAAATGGGAATAACGCTTGGAAAAACAGGAATAATTCAGAGAAAAATGGGAGTAACTCAGAGAAAAATGGGAATAACCCTTGGAAAAATGGGAAGAACCCTCAGAAAACTGGGAATAATTAACGGAAAATGGGGAATAACGCTTGGAAAAATGGGAATAACTGAGAGAAAAATGGGAATGACCCTCAGAAAAATGGGAATAATTCATGGAAAAATGGGAATAACACTTAGAAAAAATGGGAATAACCCTCGGTAAAATGGGAATAATTCAGAGAAAAATGGGAATAAAATAACGTTTGGAAAAATGGGAATAACTGAGAGAAAAATGGGAGTAACTCAGAGAAAAATGGGAATAACCCTTGGAAAAATGGGAAGAACCCTCAGAAAAATGGGAATAATTCATGGAAAACTGGGAATAACGCTTGGAAAAATGGGAATAACGCTTGGAAAAACAGGAATAATTCAGAGAAAAATGGGAGTAACTCAGAGAAAAATGGGAATAACCCTTGGAAAAATGGGAAGAACCCTCAGAAAAATGGGAATAATTCATGGAAAACTGGGAATAACGCTTGGAAAAATGGGAATAACGCTTGGAAAAACAGGAATAATTCAGAGAAAAATGGGAGTAACTCAGAGAAAAATGGGAATAACCCTTGGAAAAATGGGAAGAACCCTCAGAAAACTGGGAATAATTAACGGAAAATGGGGAATAACGCTTGGAAAAATGGGAATAACTGAGAGAAAACTGGGAATAACACTCAGAAAAACGGGAATACCCCCCCAAAACCCCAGGAATTCCCATCCCCTCTCCCTCCCTGTCCCACCCCGTGGCGGATCCGATCCCGGGGACGGAAATCCGGGAATTTTCCGGGGCTATTTGATGTTCTTGAGGAGCGCGGTGCGGGCGCTGACCAGCGCCTTGAAGGCGTCCTCGCTGCCGGGCGCCAGGCACTTGTCGGGGTGCAGCAGCACCGCCAGGCGCCGGTACGCCCGCGTCACCTCCTCCCTGGAACACCGGGAAAAACGGGATCACGGCGGGGAAACGCGGGATGCCGGGGGTTCCCTGGGAATGCTGGGGGTTTGCGGCAGGAATTTTGGGATTTCCGTGGGAATTCTGCCTTTTCTCACGTCAATTCCAGTGAATTTTGCCTTTTTCCGCCATCTTTTCCCCGGGAGTTCTGGGTTTTTCCGGCGGAAATTCCAGGGTTTTCCATGGGAATTCCAGTTTTTCCTGCAGGAATTCTGCCTTTTCCCAAGGGAATTCCAGGTTTTCCCTGGGAATTCTGATTTTTCCATGGGAAATCTGGGTTTTTTCTGGAAGCAATTCCAGCTTTTGCCACAAGAATTCCAGGCTTTCCCATGGGAATTCTGGGGTTTTCCTGCAGGGATTTTGGATTTTCCCTGGGAATTCTGGGATTTTCCGGAAGGAATTCCAGAGTTTCCATGGGAATGCTGGGGGTTTGCGGCAGGAATTTTGGGATTTCCGTGGGAATTCTTGTGGGAGAGCCGCAGTTTTCTGGGAGGAATTTCGGCTTTTCCCAGTGGAATTCTGGCCTTTCCCCACAGGAATTCCAGCTTTTCCATGGGAATTCTGGGGTTTTACGGCAGGAATTTCAGGTTTTCCCCCGGAAATTCCACCTTTTCCCGCAGTTCTGGGTTTTTCCGGCGGAAATTCCAGGGTTTTCCATGGGAATTCCAGCTTTTCCTGCAGGAATTCTGCCTTTTCCCAAGGGAATTCCAGCTTTTCCCATGGGAATTCTGATTTTTCCATGGGAAATCTGGGTTTTTTCTGGAAGCAATTCCAGATTTGCCAGAAGAACTCCACTTTTTCCCATGGGAATTCTGGGGTTTTCCTGCAGGGATTTTGGATTTTCCCTGGGAATTCTGGGCCTTTCTGGAAGGAATTCCAGAGTTTCCAAGGGAATGCTGGGGGTTTAGGGCAGGAATTTTGGGGGTTTCCAGGGAATTCTGGCACTTGTCGGGGTGCAGCAGCACCGCCAGGCGCCGGTACGCCCGCGTCACCTCCTCCCTGGAAAGGAAAAACGGGATCACGGCGGGGAAAATCACCTGGAATTGTCCTCAGAATCCCCTCAGAAGGTTTTGGAGGGAAAAATCCCGGAATTCCCAGCCCTTGGGATGGGGGAGATATGGGAAGGAGTTCGGCAGGAAGTTTGGGAAAATCGGGAGTAAGTGCAAGAATTCGGGCTGGAATCATCCTCAGAATTCCCAAGGTTTTGAAAGACATGATGAGGGAAAAATCCTGGAATTCCAAACCTTTGGAATGAGGGGGAAACAGGGAGGAGATCGGTGGGAAAAGGAAAATTGGGAAAATCTGGAAAGAACGCGAGAATTTGGGCTGGAGTCATCCTCAGAATTCCTGAGGTTTTACAAGTTGGGATTGGGGGGAAATCCTGGAATTCCGGGGTTTCCATGGGAATGCTGATTTCCCTCGGAATTCTGGGATTTTCCCCACAGGAATTTTGGGGATTCCCACAGGAATTCTGGCTTTTCCCTGGGAATTCTGGGATTTTCCCCATAGGAATTTTGGGGATTCCCACAGGAATTCCACCTTTACCCACTGGAATTCAGGCTTTCCCATGGGAATTCTGGGGTTTTCCTGCAGGAATTTTGGATTTTGCCTGGGAATTCTGGGCATTTTCAGAAGGAATTCCGGGGTTTCCATGGGAATGCTGGGGGTTTAGGGCAGGAATTTTGGGATTTCCATGGGAATTCTGCTTTTTCTCACGTCAATTCCAGAGTGAAATTCGGCTTTTTCCGCAATCCTTTCTCTGCGAGTTCTGCGTTTTTCCTGTGGAAATTCCAGGGTTTTCCATGGAAATTCCAGCTTTTCCCGCAGGAATTCCAGGTTTTCTCTTGGGAATTTTGCCTTTTCCCACAGAAATTCCACTTTTTCCAATTGGAATTTTGCGTTTTCTCATGGGAATTCTTGAGGGAATTCTGCGTTCTTCCTGCAGGAATTTTGGTTTTTCCCAGAAGAATTCCACCTTTTCCCACAAAAATTCCACTTTTTCCTGCTGGAATTCCACCTTTTCCCAATGGAATTCCTGGTTTTCCCTCAGGAATTTTGCCTTTTCCCACAGAAATTCCACTTTATCCCATTGAAATTTTGGCTTTTCTCACGGGAATTCTTGAGGGAATTCTGCGTTCTTCCTGCAGGAATTTTGGTTTTTCCCAGAAGAATTCCACCTTTTCCCAATGGAATTCCTGGTTTTCCCTCAGCAATTTTGCCTTTTCCTGCAGGAATTCCATCTTCTCCTGTGTGAATTCCACCTTTTCCCATGTAAATTCCACTTTTTCCTACAGGAATTCCACATTTTCCCTCAGAAACTCCACCTTCTCCCACAGGAATTCTAGGGTTTTTTTGCAGGAATTCTGGGAATTTTGCCTTTTCCCACAGAAATTCCACTTTTTCCAATTGGAATTTTGCATTTTCTCATGGGAATTCTTGAGGGAATTCTGCGTTCTTCCTGCAGGAATTTTGGTTTTTCCCAGAAGAATTCCACCTTCTCCCGCAGGAATTCCAGGTTTTCCAGCAGGAATTCCACCTTTTCCCGATGGAATTCCTGGTTTTCCCTCAGCAATTTTGCCTTTTCCTGCAGGAATTCCATCTTTTCCTGAGTGAATTCCACATTTTTCCATGTAAATTCCACTTTTTCCTACAGGAATTCCACATTTTCCCTCAGAAACTCCACCTTCTCCCACAGGAATTCTAGGGTTTTTTTGCAGGAATTCCACCTTTTCCTTTGAAAATTCCACCTTTTCCCTTGGAAATTCCTGGTTTTCCATTAGGAATTCCACCTTTTCCTGATGGAAATTCCACTTTCTCCCACAGGAATTTCGCCTTTTCCTGCTGGAAATTCCAACTTTTTCCATGGAAATTCCAGCTTTTCCCGTGTGAATTCCACCTTTTCCCACAGGAATTCCAGGTTCTCCTGCTGGAATTTCAGCTTTTCCATGGGAATTCTTGAGGGAATTCTGGGGTTTTCATGCAGGAATTCCAGGTTTTTCCACTAGAATTCAACTTTTTTCCTTTGGAAATCCCACCTTCTCCCACAGGAATTCCGGGGGTTTTTTTTGCAGGAATTCCACCTTTTCCCAGGTGAACTCCACCCTCTCTCACAGGAATTCCGGGCTTTTCCCACAGGAATTCCACTTTTCCCCGCTGGAATTCCTGGTTTTCCCTCGGCAATTTTGCCTTTTCCTGCAGGAATTCCATCTTTTCCTGCGTGAATTCCACCTTTTCTCATGTGAATTCCAGGGGTTTTTTGCAGGAATTCCGCCTTTTCCCGCTGGAAACTCCGCCTTCTCCCATGCGAATTCCGCGTTTTTTTCTGCTTTTTCCCTGGGGAACTCCACGTTTTCCGTCCGGCATTCCCGGTTTTTTCCCAAACCCCCGCACCTGGAGGCGCCGGGCTTGAGGCCCAGCGTGTCCCAGCTGTCCTTGCTGTTCCGGATGCGCCGGATGGCGTCCGCCTGCTCCCGCGTGAAGCTGACCCCGGGGCCGCCCGGCGGCCGCTTCCCGCCGTTCTCGCACAGATCCACGATGGCCGAGTAGAAGTTCTGGGAATTCCCGGCGGGAATCAGCCCCCCGGGAAAGGGTTCGGGGCTGGGTCTTTGGGATTATTCTTTCCTGCTCGGGATTATTTGGGATTATTTGGGATTATTTGGGAATGGGGGCAGCGGGAGATGGGATTCGGATCCTGGGGGTAATCGTGGAGGAGATTCCCACAGGGCGATCCTGGAAGTCCTGGATTCAATTCCCAAGGTTTTCCAAGGAAAATCCCGGATCCAATTCCCAGCCCTTCAATCGCAATAAACCCATATCCAATTCCCAGCCCTTCAATCCCGAAAATCCCAGATCCATTTTCCAGGATGATCCCAGGAAAATCCCAGATCCAAATCCCACACAACATTCCCAACAATCCCAGATCCAATTCCCAAGACTTCCCAGGAAAATCCCGGATCCAACTCCCAGCCCCTTCCCAGGACATTCCCAACAGTCCCAGCTCCCATTCCCAGCCCTTCAATCCCAATAATCCCAGATCCAATTCCCAAACTTCTCCCAGGAAAATACTGGATCCAAATCCGAAAGACTTCCCAAGGCAATCCCGAAAATCCTGGATTCAACTCCCAAGGTTTTCCAAGGAAAACCCTGGATCCAATTCCCAGCCCTTCAATCCCAAAAACCCCAGATCCATTTTCCAGGATGATCCCAGGAAAATCCCGGATCCAAATCCCACACAACATTCCCAACAATCCCAGATCCAATTCCCAAAACTTCCCAGGAAAATCCCAGATCCAAATCCCACACAACATTCCCAACAATCCCAGATCCAATTCCCAGGATGATCCCAAATCCAAATCCCACAGGACATTCCCATCAATCCCAGATTCAATTTCCAGGCTGATCCCAAGAAACTCCTGGATCCAGCCCCCAGTCCCTTCCCAGCACACTCCCAAAAATCCCAGATCCAATTCCCAAACCTTTTTCAAGGAAAATCCCAGATCCAAATCCGAAACTTTTCCCAGGGCGATCCCAAAAATCCCAGATCCCATTCCCAGAGTGATCCCAGGAAGATCCCGGATCCAAATCCCACAGGACATTCCCAACAGTCCCAGATCCCATTCCTAGGCCTTCAATCCCAACAATCCCAGATCCTCTTCCCAAACTTTTCCCAGGAAAATCCTGGAATTCACAGAATTCCTGGCATGCATTCCCACCTGGAACATCTCCTGGATCGCTCCCAGCCGTCCCTTCATCCCACATTCCCACCCCAAATCCCACCCAGAGCTCCCACCCAGAACACCTCCCGGAATTCCCAGCCACAATTCCCGGAGTTCCCGCCCGGCATTCCCGGCATTCCCACCCGGAACATCTCCCGGAATTCCCACCCGGAACATCTCCTGGAATTCCCACCTGGAACATCTCCTGGATGCCCTCCCCGCTCTGGGCCGAGGTCTCCCAGCAGAGCAGGAACCCACAGCTCCCACCCCTCCCTCCATCCCACATTCCCACCCGGAATTCCATCCAGACTGGATCGCTCCCAGCCGTCCCTTCATCCCACATTCCCACCCCAAATCCCACCCAGAGCTCCCACCCAGAACACCTCCCGGAATTCCCAGCCACAATTCCCGGAGTTCCCGCCCGGCATTCCCGGCATTCCCACCCGGAACATCTCCCGGAATTCCCACCTGGAACATTGCCTGGATCGCTCCCAGCTGCCCCTTTATCCCACATTCCCACCCCAAATCCCACCAGGAATTTCATCCAGACCATCTCCCGGAATTCCCGACCCAGCATTCCCGCCCGGAATTCCCTCCCGGCGTTCCCGGCATTCCCACCTGGAACATCTCCTGGATGCCCTCCCCGCTCTGGGCCGAGGTCTCCCAGTAGCTGAAGCCGCGGCTCTCGGCCCAGAGCCGCCCCTCGCTCTCGTCCACCACCCGCAGCTTCCCCGCGTCCACCTGGGAACGCCGGGAACGCCGCCGGAACAACGGGAACACCACCCGGAATTCCATCCAGACCATCTCCCAGAATTCCCGACCCAGCATTCCCGCCCAGAATTCCTTCCCGGCGTTCCCGGCATTCCCACCTGGAACATCTCCTGGATGCCCTCCCCGCTCTGGGCCGAGGTCTCCCAGTAGCTGAAGCCGCGGCTCTCGGCCCAGAGCCGCCCCTCGCTCTCGTCCACCACCCGCAGCTTCCCCGCGTCCACCTGGGAACGCCGGGAACGCCGCCGGAACAACGGGAACGGGAGAATGGGAATGGCGGGAATGGGAAAAACAGCGGGAACGGGAACACGGGGGGAGTGGGAATGGGGGGAATGGAAACGGCGGGAATGGGAATGGCGGGAATGGGAATGGCGGGAATGGAAACGGGAAAATGGCGGGAAAACAGCGGGAGAATGGCGGGAGAGCAACGGGGGAATGGTGGCAGAACAACGGGAAAATGGTGGGAGAACGGCGGGAATGAAAATGGGGGGAAAACGGTGGGAGAACAGCCGGAAAGCAACAGGAGAACAACGGGAAAACAATGGGAGAACAACGGGAAGACAACGGGAGAACAATGGGAAAACAGCAGGACAACGGTGGGAGAATAACGGGAAAACAACAGGAGAACGGTGGGAGAATGGTGGGAAAACAGCGGGAATGAAAATGGGAAAACAGCAGGAAACCGGGGGTAAACAGTGAGAGAACAGCGAGAAAACAGTGGGAAAACAGCAGGAAAACAACAGGAGAACAACGGGAGAACAGCGGAAAAACGGCGGGAGAACAACAGGAGAACAGCGGGAAAATGGCGGGAAAACAACGGGAAAACAGCGGGAGAACGGCAAGAAAACAGAGGGAAAACGGCGGGAATGGAAACGGGGGAAAACGGCGGGAAAACAGAGGGGAAATGGCGGGAGAACAGAGGGAGAATGGTGGGAGAACAGCAGGAAAGCAGCGGGGGAACAACGGGAAAACGGCAGGAATGAAAATGGGAAAATGGCGGGAAAACAGCGGGAGAGCAGCGGGAAAATGGCGGGAGAACAGTAGGAATACAACGGGAAAACAGCAGGAGAACAGTGGGAGAACGGCGGGAACACAGCGGGAAAACAGCAGGAGAACAGCGGGAGAACAAAACAACGGAAAAACAACAGGAAAACATCAGGAAAACAGCGGGAGAACAGCGGGAAAACAATGGAAAAGCAACGGGAGAACAACAGGAAAACAACAGGAAAATGGCGGGAAAATGGTGGGAGAACAGCGGGAATGAAAGCGGAAAAACAACAGGAGAACAGCGGGAAAACAGCGGGAAAACGGCGGGAATGAAAATGGGAAAACAGCAGGAAAACGTCGAAAGAACAGCGGGAGAACAACGGGAAAATGGCGGGAGAACAGCAGGAATACAACGGGAAAACGGCAGGAATGAAAATGGGAAAACGGTGGGAAATCGGCGGGAATGAAAATGGGAAGACAGCAGGAAAAAGGTGGGAAAACAGCGGGAGAACGGCGGGAATGAAAACGGGAAAACAGTGGGAAAGCAACGGGAGAGCAATGGGACAACAGCGGGAAAACAGAGGGAAAATGGCGGGAAAACAGCAGGAGAACAGCGGGAGAACAAAACAACGGAAAAACAGCGGGAAAACAGTGGGAGAACAGCGGGAAAACAGTGGGAGAACAGCGGGAAAATGGTGGGAAAATGGCGGGAGAACAGGGGGAAAACAACAGGAGAACAACGAGAAAACAACGGGAGAACAACGGGAAAATGGCGGGAAAACAGCGGGAATGGAAAACAGGAAATGGAAACGGCAGGAAGGGAAATGGGAAATAGAAACAGCGGGAATATAAAAACAACGGGAAAATCGGGAATAATAAAAACAACAGGAATATAAAATAAACACCGTGAAAATGTGGAATAAAAGCAGCGGGAATATAAATAAACAGCGGGAAAACAAATCCCACAGGAACTGGTAAGGGAGAAACCCGGGGAATGGCTCCAGAATTCCCAGAATTTCCTTCCTGGTGGATCCAGTCTGGAAAAGTCCCTGGGAAAGGCTCCAGAATTCCAGGAATTTCCATCCTGGAGGGTCCAGTTGGGAACAAAGCCCAGGAATGGCTCCGGAATCCCTGGAATGTCCAGGATTTCAATCCTGAGGGATCTGGCCTGGAAACAACCCCGGGAACTGCACTGGAATTCCCAGAATTCCCACAATTCCCACAATTCATGTTCCACAGGATCCATTTGGGAACAGAGCCCCAGGAATGTCTCTGGAATCTCCAGAACTCCTGGAATTTCAATCCCACAGGATCCAATCAGGAAGAAAGCTTGGGAATGGCTCCGGAATTCCCAGAATTCCCAAAGTTTCCATCCTGGGGGATCCAGTTGGGAACAAAGCCCAGGAATGGCTCTGGAATCTCCAGAACTCCTGGAATTTCAATCCCACAGGATCCAGCCTGGAACAAAACCCTGGGAATGGCTCTGGAATCTCTGGAATTCCTGGAATTCCCACTATCCTCATTCTGCTGGATCCAGTCTGGAACAAAACCCTGGAACGGCTCCGGAATTCCCAGAATTCTCACAACTCCCATTCCATGGGATCAAGTCGGGCAAAGAGCCCCAGGAGCGGCTCAGGAATCTCCGGAATTCTCACAATTCCCACAATTCCCATCCCTCAGGACCCTGTGGGCCTGGGAAAAACCCTGGAATGGCTCTGAAATTCCGGAATTCCTGGAATTCCGGACCTTGTTGGTGCAGACGGCGAAGACGACGTTGTCCAGGCTGCCGCGGGGCCCCAGCCCGGAACAAAACCCCGGGAACGTCTCCGGAATTCCCACAATTCCCATCCCTCAGGACCCTGTGGGCCTGGGAAAAAACCCTGGAATGGCTCTGAAATTCCCGGAATTCCCGGAATTCCTGGAATTCTGGACCTTGTTGGCGCAGACGGCGAAGACGACGTTGTCCAGGCTGCCGCGGGGCCCCAGCCCGGAACAAAACCCCGGGAACATCTCCGGAATTCCCACAATTCCCAACACTCTGGATCTGGCCAGGAAAAACCCCTGGGAACGGCTCCAGAATTCCCAGAATCTCTGGAATTCCCACAATTCCTGCAATTCCCACAATTCCCATCCTACTGAATCCAGGTTGGAACAAACCCCGGCAACGCTTCAGGAATCTCCCGAACTCCCCTCCCCTGGGATCCGGTCTGGCCCAAACCCCGTGAAGCTCCCCAGAATTCCCGGAATTCCCAGGAATTCCCGGAATTCCCGCGGAATTCCCGGACCTTGTTGGCGCAGACGGCGAAGACGACGTTGTCCAGGCTGCCGTGGGGCCCCAGCTCGCGGCGCATCTCGGCCAGCCACGAGTCCAGCGCCTCGAAGGAGTCCTTGGAGCCCACGTCGTAGACCAGCAGCACCCCCTGCGTGTCCCGGTAGAACTCGTTACGGACCTGAATGCAAAAACGGGCAAAAACGGGCAAAAATGGGAAAAAATGACGGTTTTTGTAATTATATAGCAATTTATTAGTGTTTTATTAATGTAATGAGTCCTTGGAGCCCGCGTCGTGCACCAGCAGCACCCCCTGCGTGTCCCGGTAGAACTCGTTACGGACCTGAATGCAAAAACGGGCAAAAATGGCATTTTTTATAATGATATAATGGTTTATTAGTGTTTTATTAATGGTTTATTAATGTTTTTATTAATGTAATGAGTCCTTGGAGCCCGCGTCGTGCACCAGCAGCACCCCCTGCGTGTCCCGGTAGAACTCGTTACGGACCTGAACGGAAAAACGGGGCAAAAACGGGCAAAAATGGCATTTTTTGTAATTATATGATGGTTTATTAATGTTTTATTAGTGTTTTATTAATGTAATGAGGAGTCCTTGGAGCCCACGTCGTGCACCAGCAGCACCCCCTGCGTGTCCCGGTAGAACTCGTTACGGACCTGAACGGAAAAACGGGGCAAAAACGGGCAAAAATGGCATTTTTTGTAATTATATAATGGTTTATTAATGTTTTATTAGTGTTTTATTAGTGTTTTATTAATGTAATGAGGAGTCCTTGGAGCCCACGTCGTGCACCAGCAGCACCCCCTGCGTGTCCCGGTAGAACTCGTTACGGACCTGAACGGAAAAACGGGGCAAAAACGGGCAAAAATGGCATTTTTTATAATTATATAATGGTTTATTAATGGTTTATTAATGTTTTATTAATGTAATGAGGAGAACTTGGAGCCCACGTGTGCACCAGCAGCACCCCCTGCGTGTCCCGGTAGAACTCGTTACGGACCTGAACGGGAAATGGGGCGAAAACGGGCAAAAACGGGCAAAAATGATGTTTTTTGTAATTATATGATGGTTTATTAGTGTTTTATTAGTGTTTTATTAATGGAATGAGGAGTCCTTGGAGCCCGCGTCGTGCACCAGCAGCACCCCGGTAGAACTCGTTAGGAACCTGAAATTTGGGGGGAAAAACAGGGAAAAATAAAAATATTCTTGGAAAAAACTGAGGGTAAAAAAGTCCAGGGGGGAAAAAAAATCCAAGGAAAAAACCAAAGCGCAAAAACAATTAAAAAAAACCAAACCAAACCAAACCAAACCAAAAAACCCAAAACAAAACAAAACAAAACAAAAAAAACCACACCCAAAAAAAAAAAAAAAAAAAAAAAAAAGAGTGAGAAAGAGAGAAATTCCAGGGAAAAAAATTCAGGAAAAAAAAAACTGGAGAAAACAAATAGGGAAGAATATTCGGAGAAAAAACTCTGGGGGAAAAAATTCCAGGGGGAAAAGATTCAAGAAAAACAAAAAAAAACCCTGAAAATAATTAAAAAAAAAATAAAATTAAAAAATCCAGAGAAAAAAAAAATCCAGGAAAAAAATTTGTAAAAAAATACCAGGAAAAAAAATTTGGGAAAAAATAGGGAAAAACAATAATTTGGGGAAGAGCCCAAGGGAAGAATTCCCAGTTTTCCAGGGGGGATTTTGGGAATTCTGACCTCGTAGAAGAAGGGGTGTCCGGCCATGTCGAAGATGTTCACCTTGATCTCCCGGTCCCGGATCTGCACCCTGGAAAAGGCGTTGGAATTCTGGGAATTCCAGGAATTCTGGGGGAAAAAACCCTTGGAATTCTGGGAAAAAACCCTTGGAATTCTGGGAATTCCCCGTGGATTTGGAATGTCTGGATTCCAGGGTGGGAATTCCTGGTGGGAATTGCTCCTGAATTCCAAGGGGAGCTCCTCTGGGAATACTCCAGGTTGCTCCTGCTCATCCCGTTATCCCATAAATCCCATCCCATCCAATCCATCCCATCCTCCCGTTATCCCATAAATCCCATCCCGTTATCCCATTATCCCACTCCGTTATCCCATTATCCCATCAATCCCATCCCATTACCCCATTATCCCATGAGTGTCACAAATCCCACCATCCCATGATCCCATCCCATCCCATCCCATCCCATCCCATCCCATCACATCCCATCCCATCCCATCCCATCCCGTTATCCTGTCACCTCATCAATCCCATTATCCCAATATCCCATTCCCTGGGAGAAATCCTGACGCCATCCAGCTCCAATATGCAGGGACAGCTCCCATTCCCATCATTCCCATCATTCCCATCATCCCCATCCCCATCATTCCCATTATCCCCATCATTCCATCATCCCCATTATTCCCATTATTCCCATTATTCCTGCTATTCCCATTATCGAAACCACTCCCATTACCCCCATTATTCCCATTATTCCCGTCATTCCCGTTGTCGTTATCCCCGTTGTCATTCCCACGGTCATTCCCGTTGTCATTCCCGTTATTCCTGCGGTCATTCCCGTTATCCCCGTTGCCGTCATTCCCGTCATTCCCGTTATTCCCGTCGTCATTCCCGTTGCCGTCATTCCCTGTGCCGTTATCCCCGTTGTCATTCCCACGGTCATTCCCGTTGTCATTCCCGTTATTCCTGTTGTCATTCCCGCTGTCATTCCTGCTGTTATTCCCGTTATCATTCCTGTTATTCCCGTTGTCATTCCCGTCATTCCCGTTATTCCCGTTATTCCCGTTATCCCCGCCATCATTCCCGTTATCCCCGTTGCCGTTATTCCCGTCATTCCCGCCATTGTCATTCCCGTTGCCGTCATTCCCGTTTCGGTCATTCCCGCGGTCATTCCCGTTATCCCCGCTGTCATTCCCGCCGTCATTCCCGTTGTCATTCCCGTTGTCATTCCCGCCGTCATTCCCGTTGCCGTGATTCCCGCTGTCGTTATTCCCGGTGTGATTCCCGCCACTGTCATTATTCCCGCTGCCGTTATTCCCGGTGTGATTCCCAATTCCCGGTGCCGTTATTCCCGCTACCCGCTGCCGTTATTCCCGCTGCCGTGATTCCCGGTGCCGTGATTCCCGGTGCCGTGATTCCCGGTGCCGTTATTCCCGGTGCTGTTATTCCCGATTCCCGTTATTCCCGGTGCCGTTATTCCCGGTGTGATTCTTCCCGATTCCCGTTGCAGTTATTCCCGGTGCCGTGATTCCCGGCGCCCCCTCACCGCGTGACGCCGTAGTCGATGCCGATGGTGGCCAGGTACTTGGGCACGAAGCGCTTCTCGCAGTACCGCTTGATGATGCAGCTCTGCGGGCCGCCACAGCGCCGCGTTCCCCCCAAAATCCCCCAAAAATCCCCCAAATCCCCCAAATTCCAGAATCCGGGAATGCCGCCAAAAATAACAGCGCCAAGCCCCGCCCCACCCGCGCCACCGGCCAATCAGAACCGCGCGCTCCACCGTCATTCCCGTTATTCCCGTTATTCCCATTATCCCCGCCATCATTCCCGTTATCCCCGTTGCCGTTATTCCCGTCATTCCCGCCATTGTCATTCCCGTTGCCGTCATTCCCGTTTCGGTCATTCCCGCGGTCATTCCCGTTATCCCCGCTGTCATTCCCGCCGTCATTCCCGTTGTCATTCCCGTTGTCATTCCCGCCGTCATTCCCGTTGCCGTGATTCCCGCTGTCGTTATTCCCGGTGTGATTCCCGCCACTGTCATTATTCCCGCTGCCGTTATTCCCGGTGTGATTCCTAATTCCCGGTGCCGTTATTCCCGGTGTGATTCCCGCTGCCGTTATTCCCGGTGTGATTCCCGATTCCCGGTGCCGTGATTCCCGGTGCCGTTATTCCCGATTCCCGGTGCCGTTATTCCCGATTCCCGGTGCCGTTATTCCCGGTGCCGTTATTCCCGATTCCCGGTGCCGTTATTCCCGATTCCCGTTGCAGTTATTCCCGGTGCCGTGATTCCCGGCGCCCCCTCACCGCGTGACGCCGTAGTCGATGCCGATGGTGGCCAGGTACTTGGGCACGAAGCGCTTCTCGCAGTACCGCTTGATGATGCAGCTCTGCGGGCCGCCACAGCGCCGCGTTCCCCTCAAAATCCCCCAAAAATCCCCCAAATCCCCCAAATTCCAGAATCCGGGAATGCCGCCAAAAATAACAGCGCCAAGCCCCGCCCCACCCGCGCCACCGGCCAATCAGAACCGCGCGCTCCACCGAGGCGCCGCCCACCCGCCCGTCAATCAACCGTAGCAACAACAACGCGATGCCGGCTGCTGATTGGTTGCATCGCGCAGCCAACGCACCAATCGCCACCAATCGACCCACCCTCCCGCGCTGCTGATTGGTCGGTTCGCCCGCCCCTCAGCGCCCGCCAGCCAATAGCCGCGGCTCACCTTGCCCACCTCGGCGTTGCCCATGGAGATGACTTTAACCCGCAGCGCCTTGCGCGGCTCCTTCCGCTTCGCCGCGCTCGCCTCCATGGCGGGCCCGGCCCGGTGCCGCTGCCGGTGGCGGTGCCGGTGCCGGCGGCAGCGGCAGAGGCCGCAGGGCGGCAGCAATGGCGGCGGAGCCGCGCTTCCGCCTCAGCCCGGCCGCGCCGCGCGACTTCTCGCGAGATTTGCGGCGCTTGCGCCTGCGAGATTTGGGCGGAGGCGGGGAAGGGGGGGGAATCCGCCAGGGGGCGCCAAAAGGGGGGGGGGGGGTCACGTGACCGGGGTCACTGTCACTGTCATTGTCA